TACGTGTACGGTTCGGGTTCGGTTCGTTATTAGTTGTTTACTTTAGTAGTACGTAGTACGGTCGGTAGGTACGTAGTACTACTACTATTACTTACTTATATATATATATATATATATATATATATATATATATATTAGTTTTTATAATTATATTTTAACTTTATAATATACAATATTGGAACTCATTTGGATCTGGATTCAGGTCCGAATCTAGATCCTATAAAAAGTTTTAGTCCTGAATCCGGATCTGAATATTCTGGATCCGATAATATTTTTTGAATCCGGATCTAAATCTAGGTGGATCCGGACCTGATCTGAAAACTTCTCAGCCCTAGAGAAAGGGAGCATGGAGAGAGAGCAACCGAGAGATCAAGAAAGGGAATGGCAAAAAAAATCCTAACCTCGAGGTAGCACCTATGGTGATGAAATGCACATATTTTTAGCCCAAACGTTTGCTCGTTCTGGTCCTCTCCACTTCACATAGTTTTTTTTTTCTTAGGAATAAGAGAGGGATATGGGGAGAAGAGAACATGAGAGAGAGGGGAGGACAGAGGGAGAGAGGTGAGAGAGAAAGAGAGTCACACGGGGAGAGAGAGAGAGGATAAAGAGGCATAAAGAGGGAAAAATCTAGGCACACAGAAAAAAACTTTAAAGAGTGAAAGGAACTTTTGAAAAATAATTGTGCCCCATGCTTATCTTGTCGTGGTTCTTTCATTGTATGTATAATTATAATACAATTGTATAATATACACTTTCCTATCTTGTTACATGTAATATGCATTTTACTATCTTATTACATTCTCCTCCTCTAAAAAGAAAAGAGTAATATTTCTATTGTGCCCTTTTCAGAAACTTGAATTTTTTATTTTGTTTCTATTAGTCCCCCTCAGACTCAACTGGGGAGGCATTTGAAGCTTGAGTTTGAAGCAAAGATATTGAAAAACATCTCGTGGCAAAGGCATGGTGAATATATCAGCTACTTGATTGCGAGATAAAACAAAATGAATGATAAGTAATTCAAGAACAACATTTCCACACAAAAATGATAGTCTAACTCAATGTGCTTTGTCCGTGCATGAAAACATGATTAACTGTTAATGTAGAGAACATTAACATTGTCACAAATAGTGTTGGTGGTTGAGGAAGATGCAACCTAATATCCTAAAGAATAAAAAAAGGCATGTCAATTATGTAGCAGTGGATGTCATAAAGCAGTGTCCTGATTCAACATTGGAACGAGTCACAATCGATTGTTTCTTAGTACTACAAGATATGTAGTTGGAACCAAGATGGTGTAAAAACCAGTAGTTGGACACCTAACCCAGTCTGCATTAGA